TTAAAGGGGTCATATGATGCGATTTCAAGTTTTCCTTTCTCTTTGGAGTGTTACAAGCTGATTGTGCATAGATAAGATCCCTGAAGTTGCAAAGACTAAAGTCTCAAAACCAAAGAGATATTCTTTATCAAAGTTAAGACTCTGCCACGCCCCCCTAAAACGGCTCGTTCTAACACGCCCCCACATATCTACCTCACTATGTGGAAATATTTAATAGTTTTAATTTTTCAATAAATATCCATGTTAATAAATCATAGGACTGTTGTCAATGAAACACCTTTTGTTTTTTTCAGTCAGAAACCACCAAAACATTTTTTATGTGAGTCATATAACCACTGTATTCATAGTTCACCTATTTAACTTCTCTCACCCCTGTTTGTCCTGATCTCTTTCTCTGTCTGGATCTTTCTGATGGTTTCGCCCTGATGTTTCACCACACAGCTGTACTGGTTCTTCTTCAGCTCATCAGGTGTAACTGTGATGGTGCTCGTCTTCTGAAAGGTCCTGTCCTCATTGGGAAGAGTTTCACTAAGATCTACATCCGTATGATGTTCTTGCCCGTTTCTCATCCAGCTGATTGTTACTCCACTGGGGTAAAAACCTGTAGCATGACATGAGACTGAAGATGAGGAAGACTTCTGCAGCAGAGACACCTGAGGAGAAACTGAAAGAGAGAATACAATGATGCCAAGCCTTCATCTGCTACAAATCACACAGAAATCAGACATGCTTAGTCTCCAGTATACACAAGTGGACTACAGTAGCTGATACTTTCATCCAAAATGATAACTTGGGGTTAAGCAACTTCAGCTTAAATCCAAAAATTGTGATAATTAATAGTTTGCTGTTACCAGCTCTGAGCTGTAACCACTACAGCAAAACACTTCACATCTACATACAGTTTCTGCATGAGCTCCCACTTTTCTAGCCAGAAAAAAAATAGTATTGCAGCACTTATTATGTTAGAGTTTCTTTAAGATGAATCGTTTTGCTGTAGTCACTTTGGGTAAAAGGTTCTACTAAAATAATACAAAGAATTAATGAGTTCTGTTTTGCTTTGAATTCTATGTAGTATTTAATAAATAATATAAATAAATAAAAATAAAGCTGGGGTTGGGATGCAGGATGAATGGTGCTCTATTAAAAAACATCCATTATTAATTTCCACTAAAACCGTATGATTGATCATGCTTAAAAATCCTAAAGGCCTATAAAGTAACAGAATGTGTAAATAAAATTTTTTTTTTTTTTAAAGGAGACATATTATGCCCCTTTTTACAATATGTAATATAAGTCTCTGGTGTCCCCAGAATGTGTCTGTGAAGTTTCAGCTCAAAATACTCCACAGATCATTTATTACATCATTTTGAAAATGCCTATTTTGAGTGGAAGCAGAAACACGCTGTTTTTCGGGCCTGTCTCTTTAAATGCAAATAAGCTGCTGCTCCCCGCCCCCTTTTACAGAATAGAGCTGGGCCTTTACAGCTCGGACCAGCTAAAAACATCTGTTTTAGTTCTGATTATCATGTTTATCGCACTGAAATCATGTGTTTTAAACCATATTAGTTTAAACTTCTGATATACGGTTTTCTGAGAGCACACATCTGAAGCACATGGACAGAAAGCGGCCTGTGCACTTAGACAGAAAACTAAGTTCTCATTCACACACAAGTTTATGTTAAAAACACACATGAGTTTCAAAAACAGTCGGTTATGTCTGTGAAGGTAAACTGCTGGGAAAATCGCGGGTTTATTTTAGATCTGTGTGGCAGCAGCAATATACATTAAATAAATCAATAAATCCACTGCTCTGTTGTCTCCTCTGAGGCTGGGACTCTAAACAGTGTTCTGTGCTCGTCTGTGCAGCCAAAGACAGAACAGTTAGCATGCTTTGCTCAAACTTTCTCCATGGCATTAGAACTTGTACACCGTTGTCGCTTGCGAAAACACAATGACGGCGCTGTGGGTGTATTACATTTGCAGATTAAGGGGCGGTAATATTATAATGAGATCCCTTTGCCACGTCACCAAGGGAGTGAAATCAGACGCTTAGAGAAAAAGGCTTACCAAAATAAAACTACTGGGTTAATCTTTTTCACGTTTCCTTGGTTGGTAGATGCACCGTGGACCTGATTATAGCACTTAAAACCTGGAAAAGTCAGATTTTCATGATATGTCACCTTTAAATCATGATCTCCAGAGAACGAGATTGTTTTAGGAAAATATGCCATTGCTCACAACTTGATAAGAACGGATATACCTGTTTTCTCCAGGCTGCTCTTTCTGTACTCCACATATTTCTGCAGCCACTCAATGCACTCAGTGCTGAAGTAATGTTTTCTACCCTCAAGATAAGCTCTGTTATTGTTCCACTTGTTCTGGGTGCTGAATCCTTGCTGCACTGGTGAAATCCATCTCATCTCCTTCAAATCCAGAGACATAAAGTCCTCTCCATCATAACCTTCCTGACGAAAGCCATCTGTTGCTCCAGTCTGATCATCCCACTCACAGCCGTACGTCAGCTGAAATGTGTGCACACCTGAGGAACACAGACAATGTATTTATATTATATGAAAAAAAAAATACAGTCAGATTTTTTTTGCATGTCAGGTAGGGTGACCACATGCTAAACTAAACAATTTGCTTAAAGGTGAAGTTTGTTTGAAAAAAGCAAAAAACAAACCTTGCATCATTTTTCTCATTGCCACTTGATATTTTGTTATTACATATAATTAATTTTTATTTTGTATCTAAAGTGCTCAAAAACATTTTGGGGTCAAGTGTGTGAGGTAGCATTGCAATACAAGTAATACCACTGTATTCTATTGTTTTTTGTGTGTATTTATGAGTGTGTTCATGATGAACAGACCTGTTGAGTGGTTGAACTTTTCTTTTGCGACTTGTATGTTGTTTCTGAACACCTGATGAGTTCCAGCTGCCAGCTGAGATTGTGTGTCCCAGTAATCGGCTCCTTCTTTCTGTTTCATCCACTCAGTTTTTGGCACAACTTTCTTCATATTGCTGTCAAAGTAAATAAACTGTTCTTCATCGACCAGACCAACAATAGTGAATTCTGGGAAGTCAATGTCTCCAGACACAGCAGTGAAGAAGTATTTCAGAGAGTGTGTTCCTGTGGACAAACAATGTTTACATTTTTTTTCCCATGTACACACACACACGTCTGGTTTGCTATCCTTGTGGGGACTCTCCATAGGCGTAATGGTTTTTATACTGTACAGACCGTATTTTCTATCGCCCTACACCAACCCTACCCCTAAACCTACCCCTCACAGGAAACTTTCTGCATTTTTAGAATTTCAAAAAACTTACTTCTGTGTGATTTATTAGCTTGTTTACCTCAATTTAGGTCCCCACCATGACACGAGTCCGCATGAGTCTGTGTGTATTCAGGTTTAAGTCCCCACCAGAATAGAAAAACAGGTACACACACACACACACACACACACACACACACTATTTTAAAATACATTTATAGTTATTATAAATATTTTAAAACAGTTTTGTCCATATACAATTGAACATGGAGTCCAAAAACAAAACTGGACCCCACTGACTTCCATTAAATGGACCAAAAAAAAACAAAAAACAGCAACAACAAAAAAACTGATTCATAACTCTGGACACACCACTGCATTCAGGTTACAAATGAAACTGATCCTGTTATAAAAACTCATAACTTTGAGACAGAACATCATGTTTAACACAATCAAATTTGTTTTGGCCTATTAAATATAATTATTGGACTCCACAGCTACTATATATGGTTTTAGTGTATAACTTTGAAATATCAAATCATACTGTTTACTTAAACACAGTTAACTTTAAACCATTTACTCACCAGCACAGGCGAGATTAACTTCAAGGAGCAGAAGAACTACAGCCCGCATGTTTGGACTTTGACTGATAAATTGTTAAATGAAAATTTGCCTCGACTCAAGGTTATAAATTCCAGCCAATAGATTTTTTAGGCCAAGTGGAACATCACCAATCACTGTGAGGTTTTCTTAGATTGGATTGATGAAAGTGAAAACAAAATGAATTCAGACATTATAAGTATGAAGGGAAAATGTTTAAAGGGGTCATATGATGTTGCTAAAAAGAACATTATTTTGTGTATTTGGTGTAATGAAATGTGTTTATGCGGCTTAAGGTTAAAAAAACACATTATTTTCCACATACTGTACATTATTGTTTCTCCTCTATGCCCCGCCTTTCTGAAACGTGTCGATTTTTACAAAACTCATCGTTCTGAAAAAGCGAGGCGTGCTGTGATTGGCCAGCTATCCAGTTGTTGGCCGAATTCCTCCTTTCCAACCTGTATGAACGTACAGTTGGGTGTTTCCCAAATTTTATTAAAAAGCATCCCCAATTCTGAGCCACAATTATTTACCAAACGCTCTGGCTTCTCTTTAATGGTGGCGTGCTGCCAACCGCTCTATTAAAAAATAAATAAAATAAATCTTTAATTAAGAAAACATATTAAAAACATACACCAAGAGAGCAGTTTAATATAATTTGACTGGTGCATGTTTGTGCTCTGATTGTTTTCTTCACATTATAAAGTTTCTGAGTCGAAAAAGTTGCTGAAATTAAACATTTCATCCAGATTCCTGCAGTTTCCAGATTTCATTAATTCTGTTTCCAGGCTATACTTAACAACAATGTACTATACATATTAAAACTCTACCACACAGTCACTGAAGTGAGCTTCTGTAGGTCTCCCGTCCCCTGCACGGCG